GATCCACCCACAGTTTTAGAGCAGCATCTTTTGAAAACCATGGGTTCACACCTATAATCCCAATTCCAGTTCAACACCATAAGGTTCTAATTTTCTCCTTCTGTCTTTGCAAGTCCATCCTCTGACTGTCAGAGTCCCGGCTCCATTACCCGCAGTATGTTTACTCACCCAACCTCGACAGTAACCAAACCTTCACCTCCTGACGTAGGTGCTCTCCCCTTCCACTGGGCCGCCCCTCCATGGGGACACCCTCCTCCTGTTATCTTCCTGTTAATGTATTGTCCTAAATACACCTTTATTTCAGAATGATTTTAGATTTACAGAAAAGGTGATATTCCCATATACATCTTATCCAGTTTCCCCTAATATTAGCATCTTACATGACCAGGGTACACTTGTCAAAACTAAGAAACCAACCCTGCTATGTTATTATTAATTAAACTCAGGATGGCATTTGGATTTCACGTTTCCCTATGAATATCCTTTTTCTGTTCCAAGATCCCACACTGCATTAAGCCCTCTTAAAAGATATTTTTAAAGTGCTAAAAGAAAAAAAGTCCCACCCAGCATTATTACACAGCCTGTGAAAATATCCTTCAGGGAGGGAAGTGAAGTAAGACACGCTGGGTGGTGGGAGACACTGTCTCCACAAGCAGTACCCCAGAAAGAAAATGACACCACAGGGAAACCCCAACCTTTAGGAATGAGGAGACAGCAACAGAGATGGTAAGTATAAAAGACTATTTTCTGGGGACTTTCCTGGTGGCGCAGTGGCTAAGAATCCACCTGCCAGTGCAGGGGACACGGGTTCAATCCCTGGTCTAGGACAATCCCACATGCCGCAGAGCAACTAAGCCCGTGTGCCACAACTACTGAGCCCACGCACCACAACTACTGAAGCCCACGCGCCTAGAGCCCGTGCTCCACAACCAGAGAAGCCACGGCAATGAGAAGCCCACGCACCACAACAAAGAGTAGCCCCCGCTCGCCGCAACTAGAGAAAAGCCCGCGTGCAGCAACGAAGACCCAACGCAGCCAATAAATAAGTAAATGAATAAAAGTACCTATCCTTTAAAAAAAAAAAAAAGACTATTTTTTTCCTTGTAAGAGTTTTAAAATATGTATGACTGTAGAAGGAAAATTATAACACTGTCCAGTGGGTTTCCCATGCATGCAGAGGTGACTGCAAGGTTTCCACATTTCTGTGAAGTGGCACAAGTCTTAAGTCTAAGTGGATCATGAAAGGTTAGGTATGTGCATTGTAATCTCCAGAGCAACCACTAAAATGTATTTCAGAGATATATCCAAAGGCCAATAAGTAGATGAAATGGAATGCTAAAAGTCTTTCCGATAACTCAAAAGAAAGGGGACAGCAGAACAAAGAAGAGGGACAAAGGGAAAACAAATAATAAAATGGTACCCTAAACCTAACCATACACGTAACTCAGACTAAACAGACTTCCAGAAAAAGAGCATTTCCTAAGATGAACAAAGGCATCTGATAATGACAAACGGAATTAGTCATCAGGAAGGCCTAACAATTAAAAATGTGCGTGATAGGGCTTCCCTGGTGGCGCAGTGGTTGGGAGTCCGCCTGCCGATGCAGGGCACGCGGGTTCGTGTCCCGGTCTGGGAAGATCCCACATGCCGCGGAGCGGCTGGGCCCGTGAGCCATGGCCGCTGAGCCTGGGCGTCCGGAGCCTGTGCTCCGCAACGGGAGAGGCCACAGCAGTGAGAGGCCCGTGTACTGCAAAAAATAAAATAAAATAAAATAAAATAAAAAAGAAGCGGTAAAGCTGCAGAAAATATGACTGTCTCCACAGCAAATTCCATTGAAATCTATAAAACAAAGATTAGAATTAATATACAAAGAAGCAAGGTTTTTGTTTTTGTTTTGTCTTGTTTTTTATAAATTTATTTATTTAATTAATTTATTTTTGGCTGCGTTGGGTCTTCGTTGCTGTGCACAGGTTTTCTCTAGCTGCGGCGAGCGGGGGTCGCTCCTCGTTGCGGTGCGCCGGAAGAAGCAAGGTTATTGGTTACAAGGTTAATTTGCAAAAGTCAACTGTGTTCTTCTATACTAGCAGGAAACTATAAAATGAAATTAAGACAACAATCCCATTTACAGTGACACCAATTACAAAAGCATCTAGCTTAACAATAAGCTTAACAATAAACATTTAAGACCTCTACCTCACTACTGGCAAGATACTGTTCTAAGTGTTTTCCAGGGATTAATGCATTTAGCTCTCATAACAGCCCTGTAAAGAAAGTACAGATGAGGACACAGAGGCAGAGAGGTGAAGTGACTTACCCAAGGTCACAGATCTCTCAGATGGGAGGAGTGGAGTGTGAAAGCAGGGTGTCAAGGGGCAAAACCAACCACCTGATCATCAAAGAAGCACACCCACAGCTCAGTCTGTTGGAGAGCTACGCCATCCGTCCAGGCCGGGTTGAAAACCAAGCTTCTGGGCACTGGTAACACGAAACCTGAAAGCGATCAATCAGAGGTGACGATCAGAAAGCCAACCAGAGACCTGAACTCTGAATCTTGCCTAATGTGGAGTACTCCTCCTTTTTACCTCTTCAGTGTGTTTGGAAAAATCTGCTGAACGCGTGCCGTGGCTCTCTCTTGCCACGTGAACAAGTTCACTTTGGTTTCACATGACTATTTGGTCTTTGTTTTCCTTCTAATGCTTTACCTGCTCTGGCCAATAGCCCCATGTGGCTATTAAGTTTAAATTAACTTAAAAAATTTTAAACGTAAAAATTCAGTCCCTCAGTCACACAAGCCACATTTCAAGTGCTCACAGCCACATGTGGCCAGTGGGTACCACAATGGCCAGCACCCATTAGCACATTTCCACCATTACAGAAAGTTCTACTGGACAGCGCTGGTCTTTATTGTGCAGTGGGAACTCGGATCCCTCCTAGGAGCATCCCTCTTCCTGGGCCCAGCAGAGCAGAGTACAAAAGGTGGGACGGTGGTGAAAGCTGAGGGCCCAGAGTCAATCAGACTTCATGATTACAGGATGGGGGCTTTTAAAAATGCTGGAAAGGCGCTCAATACACGGCAAGGGCTCCACTTTGTTCTGTAAAGTGTTAAGATCAGTTATACTGGTCCATACACATTATTATCTGCCAGGAGCCTCTAAGATCCTCCTACGGAAATTTTTATTTTTGTTTTTTTTTTTTGCGGTACGCGGGCCTCTCACTGTTGTGGCCTCTCCCGTTGCGGAGCACAGGCTCCGGACGCGCAGGCTCAGCGGCCATGGCTCACGGGCCCAGCCGCTCCGCGGCACGCGGGATCCTCCCGGACCGGGGCACGAACCCGTGTCCCCTGCATCGGCAGGTGGACTCTCAACCACTGCCCCACCAGGGAAGCCCGGGAATTTTAAATTTTATTCCATGGGAATTCCCCGGCGGTCCAGTGGTCAGGACTCTGTGCTCTCACTGCCGAGGGCCCAGGTTCAATCCCTGGTCAGGGAACTAAGACCCCCCAAGCTGCTCGGCCAAAAACAAACAAACAAACAAAAATCCCTTACAACCACCCTGTGAGGGGTGACAGTGCATGCTGGCTTTTTTCCACCTGCTTTTCTAGACCCCTTTTCCACCTGCTCCGTTTCAGAAGCCTACCCTCCATGACCACTCTCAGCTACCTTGCCGTGGGGCGGAGGCTGCAGGGAGGCGCAGGAGGGCTGGATCCCGACTGAAGGTCGACCTCCAGCCAAGGAAGCCCCGTCTATGCTGCTCTCTGCTGGTCCTGGTAACTGGGGTGTCCCCTTATCCTGGGGTGTCCAGGAGCAGAAGCAACTCCACTGTTACTACCGCGTGATAAAAACACTAACGCTGCTGTTTCCCTGCACACTCCGCTTTAAACTGGGCCTTTACAAACCCTCCTTAAAGTATCCTAAAGAGATGGTGCCATACCTTCTGACCCTTACATTTTTTATGCCGTTTTGTTTTGTTTACCACGCTGCCCGGCATGCGGGGTCTCAGTTCCCCGACCGGGGATCGAACGGTGCCCCCTGCAGTGGAAGCGCGGAGTCTTAACGGCTGGACCGCCAGGGAAGAAGCCCCTTTACGCCCACTCTTAAAGCAGTGGAGGCTGAGACTCAGTCTCTCGCGTGCCCAACAGTGTCCTCGCTGCCTGTATTTCACAGCAGGGTTCTTCAAATCAGGGATGTGTACGCGACCACCATCCAAGGAAACCGAGGCAAGGGTCATTTTAAAAGAATCAGTTTTGTGCTCCTTAACTGTGGACACGTTTTCTCTGCTAAAGCATATCTGCCTGGGAACCGACTTGCGTTGAAAAGCGTGATCTCCTTTCCGCTCGTGTCGTGAGAAGGGCCCTCTACAGAAGGAAGCCCCCTCCAGGGAGCTGGCCCGAAGGACACGCCTCCCTCCTCCCGACAGGCCCGCGAGCAGGACAGACCCCGGTGTCCACAGCGGCGCGGACGGCGTACCCGGTGCCGGCCCAGCCCGCCCAGAGCGCCCTCGCAGGAGGACGCCGCTCCTGTGCGAACGCTCACGCTGTTCGGTGCAACCGCGCGCCACGGCAGGTACAGAGCAACATCCGGAAGGAACCGTTTCACACTCAGGACCTCGACCCAAGGGAGTCTCCGGGCCACCCGAGCACGCCCAGGCGCGCTGAGGGGAAGCCGGAAGCCCGGGCCGTGGACGCGAGGGCGACCCCGGCCGCTATTCGAACTCACCACTCCAGACGGCACGCCACTTCCGGGGCCGGCTCCAGGAGTCACTTCCGGGGCGGGTCCCGCCTGCGCAGGACCTCCCCAGCGCGCATGTGCGGCGCGGGAGGGGTTGGGAGGGGGGGGAAAAAAAAGGAGCTGCTCGCGTCTGCGCAGAGGTGAGCGTGGTCTCCGGCGTGGGGAGCGGGGGCACCTCGGGACCCGGGGACCCGGGGACGCAGGGATCCCGGGCCCGGCAGCCGTCTCCCCGCCGGGGCTTCCGGTTCCCCATCACCTCACGGAAACTCAGTCTCCAGGACGGTTCTCGAAGAGCCAGTTTATTAATTACAACAAAGGCATAAACAACTTAGACGCCAAAGTCCGGCTGAGGAGAGAAACGGACGGGTGAGGATGGTTGTCCGGGAACGGGCTGTGCTCACGGACGAGACGGCGTGACCTGGTCAGTCAGGGCTGGGAAGTCACACGGAAACGCCCTCCTCTCGGTCCGAGTGTGAGCGGCCGCCCCGCACGGACCGCCGAGGCCCGGCTGCGGCTGCGGGCGCGCGAGGGATGCTCGGGCCGGAGGCGGCGGGGCCAGCCGGCGGCCTGGGCGCTGTCGGCACCTCCGCGGGCCGCGCCGGTCATCGCTCGAGGCCCGCCCCGCCCGGGGCTCGGCCGTGGCAACTCGGCGGCACTGACCGCACCGCGCGAGCGACTCTCGGGCCTAAGCGTCTGCAGACATTCGTGTTGCGGAAGAGGAGACACAAAACAGTGAACGAAAACGAGCTGCTGGCGTCACTTTCCCCACAATAGTACATAAAAACGGACAGCACGTTAAATAAACATTTTGTTATTAATCATTAAATATATGAACACCGACAATCATGTATAAATTAGGAAATAGATGTACAAACTATTTCACAAAGTGCTTTTAAAAATATATACACAACATTCAAGAAATTCTTAATGTAAGACATTTCAGATTGAAGTTTCGGGGTAAGTTTTTTTAAGTGTCCTTTTCCTTCAAAAAGTATTAATACAGCACTTAAAACAAACAAACACACACACACAGACACATAAAAGGCATATTCCCAGATTGGCAAGGAATAAAAATAAACTATTTTCACAGTTCTCTGAAATGCTTAACATTTTCAACGGGAAAATTTAATCCCCGACTGAGTTTGCAAATTCTATGAAAATTGTCAGGAAAGAACAGGACAAAATCAAGGGAAATGACTCCCTAAATGAAATTACTAATGTGTGTCATTTAGCGGTTAAGGACTCTCATTTCAATAATTTAATACAGAGATGTATTTTTAAGCCCTTACCAGCGTTAAGGGTTTCTAAAAACCCGTATGTCTACAAAATAAACACTTCTATTCCAATGCATGTGTGATTCTGTCTCCACAGAGGAGGGGAGAAGGTCCTAGAACAGGACTTCTACTCGACCCGCCCCTTCTTTCCTCTGAGCCTTAGTGCTTCATCTGCAAAACAGCAACAAGTAATCGCCACCATATTCCCAGGGTGGACTGGGAATTATTCATTCCAGTAAAAACACGTCGAAGATGTCTTCTACACTGTAAAGTATTCAATTCTGGATAAAGAACTACTTTCAATTTAAGACTTAATAAAACATCACCTTCAGTAGACCTGATATATGAAGAACTGGATATATTTTTATTTTCTTGGTTGTCTTGGAAATATGTCAGCATTTATCCAAAGATGTTTTTAAAGCGGTCATAATAAATATGGGTATTGTTATCCAGGTAAGAGTTGATAAAATGTCCTTATGACTTATTAGTGAAATGTAGAATTTTTCCTTTGCCCTGACTTTTCCACATGAGCTGTCTTTAATGTCTGCACAGAATTTAAATGGCATTTAATGTCCTAGGAATGTAAAAATTACTCAAATTTCTCTCCATAAGAGCTTTCCTTCTCATTAGGAAGAACACAGTAGAATCAGTGGTGTTCTTTTTAAAAATAAGATGTGAATTTCAGATATCCCTAAAAGAAAAGGAAAGCTTTCTTGGAGATGTGAATAAGTAGGTCCTGGAAGAAGTGGTATAAAATAAACAACTTGCCAACAGTTTGGAAAATTTGGTGTCAATATTTTAAATTATAACTTTGGAATTGAGCATATTAAATATTAAAATTCCAGAAATGACCATCAGATAAACAAGGGCCAAAGCCAAAGTAATTCCAGAGACTACCTTCTCTTTCTTTCAGCAATACCACTCTCCCTGGGTAAGGCTAATCATTCATTGCCTTCATGGATTCCTATTTATTTAGAACATAGTCATTGATCCCTCTTTACTTTTTAATACAAAAACATACAACTTTTTGGATAAACACAATTGGTGAGAGACACAGGTAACGAGTGAGCTCTGAAAATAACGGTTCACAGCATCTCCAAATGAGGCTTAGTCATCCTTTCCATCGTGTAACAGAAACTGACGCAAATCACAGAAGATGCCTCCCACCCCCCCCCACCCCCCCATCGAGGCACAGGAAGAGGCTGCCATCCAGGGGCTGTGCACACGTGTCCAGCTGCGGTGCGGACAGTGAAAGACAAGTTTACAACCCACGGTACGGCAGTGCATGAGGAGTGTCAGACCTAAGGTCTGTTTATACAAGTACGTGGACTATGGCCTCTTGTAGGTATGTCCCATCACTGGGCACAGAACACTCTGATGACAAAAGGACCCCTAAAGCTAGCTAGAAACACTGCGGGGGGGGGGGGAGGCGGACAAAAAGGGACAACCTCTCCGTTGTATGGACATACAATACTATACACAGCACCAAATATGTCACACCATCAAAGCGCTGTCTTGCACCAGCGGTGCACGCTCGGCGTCCTACCCCACGTGAAACGTGCACGCTTCGCATGCAGACGCTGCGTGGGGTGAAGGGGCAGCCCGCAGGTCACAGCTCATCAGAACTGTCACTGGCCTGTCCATCCCAGACAGACATGCCGCTGCAAGCCTCCATAAGAATGTTTGTCCTTTACTGCTGGTAATTTCCGTACTGGCCCTGCAAGAGACCAAGACACAGATTACACCCCAACAGTCCTGCATAAGAGGGTCCACGCCCAAGGGTAAGACAGACTCCCGCCCCCCCGCCAACACCCAGGACGGGAGGTGGAGGGAACATAAAGGGCAAGCGACCAAACAGCCTCTGCCTGTTTCCACGAGGCAGCCAGATAAGCGGCCTTCCAGAAGCCACTCTCCAGGCTGCAGCTACTGATTTAGGTCAGAGGGTGGAGAGGCTCGTTCACCCAGCCACACAGCAGCTCACTGTGCTGGGCCTGGTCCAGGTGCCTCAAGTCACGTCCCCACCCTGAGCCTGCCGTGAACAGGTCTGTGACGGGCTCCCCCAGCCACAAACGACATTGGCACCACTTCCGGCACACTCAGGGGAACATTCCACACTGCTCTCTTCAAGGTCAAAAAGGTTTTCTTCTTAATTACCCTGCCCTGGGCTTGTTTACTCGTGTTGAAAACTCATCCTCTAAGTATGACTGGTTCATGATCTCTCTTTAGAGAGCAGGGTGAGAAGCATTTAAAAGAATAAAATACAGGACCTTACCTATTCAGGTACCTGAGAAAAACACCCATCATCCATGTGGTGCCTTGAGATTTCATTAGCCGTGTAAACGGTCATTAGTGCCTGTGACCCAGCACAAAAGGCCACCGATGGACAATCAGCCCTTGCAAGGGGCTCTCTTCAAAGGAGGTTCCAAAGATGCCCAGGATAAGTCTCCTCCCGCCCCACTGCCCTGCTCCTGCCCTGAGCTGCAGACGCCAAGGCTCCTCCTGACCGACTCGCATGAGACACACCTGCACGGCTGCGTCCCGAGGCTGGCTCACCCTCATCCTCACGTCCTGGCCCCGTGGCACCTCCGCTGAGAGGCCCCCGGACACTTACATTCACCCCTCATGGGTTTCTCTCCCACCAGGAGGGGCCGACATCCATCATCTACCGCCCTTCTCCTCCACGCCTCCAGGTGGAAGTCAGAGGCATCTGAAGTTAAGCTTGATTTTCTCTCCACAGCCCTCTGCACCCCGAGAAATGGCAACTGCCTCAAGCAGCCCAGGCTGAAATCCCTGGGGCCGCCCCGACCCGCCTCTCCTACACGCCCCACGTCCAGTCCACCAGCAAATCCCGCTGGCACCACCTCTGAGAGCACCTAGAGTCCCGGAGCCTCTCACCTCTCTCCAGCAGCCACCGTGCTGTCACCAAAGGCTCCGACGGCCTCCAGGGCCCCACCCAACGCAGAGCAGATCCTCGTCAGGTGGGCGAGGCCTCCCTGCCGTCCTGGGAGCCTGAGCGGCTCTGCTCAGGTCTGATGGCCTCGCTGTCGCCCGAGAGAGGGCCTCCCCGACCTGGTCTACGCCAGCCCTGCCACCCGTCGTTCTGTCCCTTTGCCCTCTGGGTCCTCTTCCCAGAACTACCTGCCGCTGCTCCATCCTGGCGCCAACAGCGCCCGGCTGTGTCAGGCGAGATACAAGCTCTAGAATCTGCCTAGTCGCCGGGGCCCCCAAGCGCGCACCAGACACCCGACGCTGCTAGGCACGCGGGAAACACCCGAGGTGTGAAAGGACAAGGACACAGAGCCAGCTGTGTCTGACCGAAGAGGTAATTTTTAAAAACCTTACAGGCTCAGAGAATTAACGTTCTGGAGGGACCTTGGGTGCCAGTTCACCCTGTGTTATTGTTTCTCTTGACGACCGGGGAAACCTTCGTCACGTCTGACGCACGCGGGGGCTGCGAGTCTGGAAACGGGCAGAAGGCTTGCCTGCTCGTAGCCGTAAGGCCGCTGCTGCTGGGCGGACGGGCCCGTCTGAGACGCTCGGTAGCTTCCGTACTGCTGGCCTTGTCCCTGCTGGTAGCTGGAGTACTGCGAGGGGGCGCCCTGGGCAGGCCCTAGAACACACGCGGGAGCCGTGAGACCACCCCATGCCCCCGTCCGCCCGAGCCCCTGACTCTGGCACCCGTTCTCCCTCCACATTAAGCCCGTGCAGTGAAAGCGCCACAGCTGGAGGCTGCGCGGAGTCCCGCGTGGTTCGCAGCTGTGCTCCCACCGCCACCCGGACGGAGCCTGGGGGCCACTCTCAGTGCCCCGGACCCGCTTCCTGGGACCAGCTTACACTGGTCACGGTGGTCACCGTAAACACGGGAGTCAAACACACAGCAAATGGTGAAAACACGCGAGAGACGGTAATTGTGCCTCCGGAGCCTAAGTAGATGGTTTAGGAGAAACTGACAAAGGCCGAGTGTTCTTTCCAAAATTGGCTGTTTCTAGGGCTGGGGCAGGGGAAACACTGTGGTCCCAGAAAGAAGAAAGTGCTCTAAACCAAAAGGATGGGGCACGTCCAAGGGCCACAGGCACCAACCTGAGCTCCCAAGAGGCAGAGCTGAGACGGTTGGAACAATAAAATAAACAAGTTTGGATCGTAACTCAATGTGTAAAATCAATACCCGTGAGCACCTACCAATATAAATAAACGATCAATAACTAAGTGAATGGAGGAGAAGAGACGCATCTTCCCTACAGAAGAATTCCAAATAATCTATGTAGACCAGCGGTCCCCAATCTTTTTGGCACCAGGGACTGGTTTCATGGAAGACAATTTTTCCACGGACGGGGAGGGGGGATGGCTCAGGCGGTGATGTGAGCGCTGGGGAGCGGCAGATGAAGCCTCGCTCACTCGCCCACCGCTCACCTCCTGCTGTGCGGCCTGGTTCCTAACCGGCGCGGACCGGTACTGGTCCGAGGCCCGGGAGTTGGGGACCCCTGATGTACACAGTGCCCCCTCGAGTGGGGCTGGACCCAGTGATGTCAGAGTCTGGAGGAGGAGAGGGAAGGAAGCCCGACACTGCGGAGGCCTGGCAGACGCCCTTGACCATGTGACCAAGGCCAGACTCAACGGAGGCAAGTCATGCCCACAGGAGGGGACGCAAAGGCACTTCGCCATGGTCTTCTTTCCAGAACCCAGGCCAGACAGACCCAACCTGAGGGGGCGTCTAGGCAGTGCCCGCCCAGCCCTCCTCAAAAGTGCCAAGGTCAAGAGGGATGAGGAAAGTCTGAGGAACTTTCGCAGCCCAAGGAGCTGCGGGGCTGACGTCATGTGGGATCCTGGCCTGGTCCCGGACAGAGAAGGACATGCAGGAGAGCCAGTGAGATCCGAAGAAACTGGCTCAGTCCACGTCCATGCACCAACCTTGGTTTCTTAGCTGTGACCACAGGGCCCCGGTAATGGACGAGGTTAACCATGGGGGGACTCTCAGCTTTCCTCACAGCTTTTCCAGAAATCTACAACTGTTCCAAAATAAGAAGCCTGCTGGGCGCCCACCGAATGACCGCGTTCCTGTGATGGCCCCCCCACCGCTTACCATAGCCTTGCTGCTGCCCGGGGTAGCTCTGCTGGTTGGGGTACTGCTGCTGGGAGTACGTCTGCTGCTGGGCTGTGCCCTGCTGGTACCCCGCCTGCTGCTGGCTGTACTGTGAGTTTCCTGCAGAGGGAAGGAGACATGAGCTCATTTCCAGAGAGCAATGGCAGCTCCGCTGTCCCTCGAGGCACGGGCAGCTTTGGGTTCCCTAGACCGAGTCCACTGCTCCAGTACCTCTTCTTTTCCACAACAATTCAAATTATTTTATTTTATTGGGTTGGCCAAAAAGCTCCTTCAGTTTTTAAGTAAAAATAAAACACAGTTTTCATTTTCACCAAGAACTTTATAGAACAACGTATTCACCGTTTTGTTCCACTACCTTCCGCCATTTTCCAGGTAACTCCATAATTCCATCTTCCCAAAACTTTTCATCCTTTTGAGCAAAGAACTGTTCCAGGTGCCTTTTACCGTCTTCCAGGGAATTGACACTTTTTCCATTAAGGGAATTCTATAAAGACCGAAAAAAATGGAAATCCAAAGGTGCAATGTCTGGTGAATACGGCGGATGAATCAGAACTTCCCAGCCAAGCTGTAACAGTTTTTGCCTGGTCATCAAAGAAACATGGGGTCTTGCCTTATCCTGATGGAAGATTATGCGTTTTCTGCTGACTAATTCTGGACGCTTTTCGTCGAGTGCTGCTTCCAGTTGGTCTAACTGGGAGCAGTACTTGTTGGAATTAATCATTTGGTTTTCTGGAAGGAGCTCGTAATAGAGGACTCCCTTCCAGTCCCACCATATACACAACTTCACCTTCTTTGGATGAAGACCATCCTTTGGTGTGGTTGGTGGTGGTTCATTTCGCTTGCCCCCTTATCTTCTTCTGTTCCACATTATTGTACAGTATCCGCTTTCCATCGCCCGTCACAATTTGTTTTAAAAACGGAACATTTTGGTTACGTTTAAGTAGAGAATCACAAGAGGAAATACAGTCAAGAAGGTTTTTTTTGCTTAACTCATGTGTGGAACACAAACATCAAAGCGGTGAATGTAACCAAGCTGGTGCAAATGATCTACAGAGCTTGATTTGTATATTTTGAGCATGTCAGCTGTCTCCCGCGTGGTACAACGTTGATTGCTCTCAATTAATGTCTTGATTTGATCGCTATCAACTTCAACTGGTCTACCCGACCATGGGGCATCATCCAGCGAGAAATCTCCACATGAAACTTCGCAAAGCACTTTTGACACGTTGGATCAGTCACAGCACCTTCTCCATACAATGCACAAATCTTTTTTTGCATTCTGGTTGCAATTTTACCTTTCTTGAAATAATAAAGCATAACAGGCCAAAAATGTTGCTTTTTTTTCTTCCATCTTCAATATTAAAATGGCTACACAAAAATTCACCAGTTTTGATTTTTTTTTTATTTTGTTTTGTTTTGTTTTGTTTTGTTTTCCGGTACGCGGGCCTCTCACTGCTGTGGCCTCTCCCATCGCAGAGCACAGGCTATGGACGCGCAGGCTCAGCGGATATGGCTCACAGGCCCAGCCGCTCCGCGGCACGTGGGATCTTCCCGGACCGGGGCACGAACCCGCGTCCCCTGCATCGGCAGGCGGACTCTCAACCACTGCGCCACCAGGGAAGCCCTGATTTTTTTTTTTTAAATGCACAGGTATGGCAGTTGTCACGTACAATCTAACAAAATTGTTTCAAATGAAGTTAAAGACAGCTAAGCGCTACTAGAGCCATCTTACAGGGAAACCGAATGAACTCTTTGGCCAATACAATACTTTCTCTTACCGTCTTATAGAAATACAAATATATCGCCAAAGTGAAGAGGTTAATGCAATTAAGACAAAGACCAATACCAGTGTTGTAGGTAAACTGTGTCCCCCAAAAGAGCTGTTGAGGTCCTGACCCCAGGAACCTGTGGCCTTATTTGGAAATAGGGTCTTTGCAGATGTAATTAGTTAAAGGGAGGTCATACAAGGTTAGGGTGGGCCCTAATCCAGTGGATGATGTCCTTCTAAGAAGAAGGAGATCTGGACACAGACACAGGGAAAAGCTGTATGATCCCCACAGTTCAAAGGGACCCCAGAAGTTTTGGGACACCCTCGTCTTATTGGCAAACATGCAAGCCAGGGTTCCAGCTCAGACCTGTGATGTGTTTTCCTGTGACTTTATGAACGAAAAGAGGCAGACGTTTGCCCTTGTGTTCTGCATCTATATGTGGGTACAGTCCCAGAGATGTTTTAGGTTCACTTACTTTTTCTTTTCTCAGAGAAAATGGCTTAATTCTCACTTTCAAAACTCTAACTAGCCAGCCAGCACCCGTGCTAAAAGCCTCATTTTGGAAGAAAGCTCATGGTAAGAAAATAACTTGGGAGAGCAGTAAACGTATTACCAAATAATTACCAACAGTTAAGAGGGAGTATTGGGGACTTCCCTGGTGGCGCAGGGGTTAAGAATCCACCTGCCAATGCAGGGGACACGGGTTCAAGCCCTGGTCCGGGAAGATCCCACATGCCGCGGAGCAACTAAGCCCGTGTGCCACAACTACTGAGCCTGCGCTCTAGAGCCGGCGAGCCACAACTGCTGAGCCCACGTGCCGCAACTACTGAAGCCTGCGTGCCTAGAGCCCATGCTCCGCAACAGGAGAGGCAACCGCAGTGAGAAGCCCGCGCACCGCAACGAAGAGTAGCCCCCACTCGCCGCAACTAGAGAAAGCCCACGCACAGCAAAGACCCAATGCAGCCAAAAATAAATACATAAAATAAATAAATTTTTTAAAAAAGAGGGAGTATTAACAACCATTTAAAAATCTTTCTACATGTGTAATGGAAAAGAACCTAAAAAAAGAATATATATATAGTCTGTGTGTGTGTGTGTGTATAACTGAATCACTTTGCTGTACAGCTGAAACACAACACTGTAAATCAACTATATTTAAATAAAACTTTAAAAATAAATAAATAAAAATCTTGCTACGAAGTCTTCCTAATGCAGGTCTTAAGAGTTTTAGATTGGTGTAGAGACTAAATTCCATTCTGTTTTCAAAACACCTTTATAAGAAGACCAATTTAAGTTTAGTTTCATCGTTTTTTTCAAAACCACAGTGTCTGGCCTTTAACCGCAGAGTGTGGGTCTTTCTCTGCATGAGACCCTGTCCTCTAGCAGGAGCAGGCGGGGCGAGGGGACCCGGGGTGTTTACCCCCTGTGGCGCCAGACAGCCTGGAAAGGAGGGCTGCTTGTGGTTTTCTTGTTCTTGTCTCTGTTTTTAGTTAATTAAGTTTTTCATAGATTTTTTTTCATTTAAAAAATTTTTATTTTATTGTTTATTTATTTATTTTTGGCTGCGTTGGGTCCTCGTTGCTGCGCGCGGGCTTTCTCTAGTGGCGGCAAGCAGGGGCTACTCTTCGTTGTGGTGCACGGGCTTCTCACTGCAGTGGTTTCTCTTGTTGCGAAGCACGGGCTCTAGGCACATGGGCTTCAGTAGTTGTGGCTCACGGGCTCTAGAGCGCAGGCTCAGTAGTTGTGGCACGTGGGTTCAGTAGTTGTGGCACGCAGTCTCAGTAGTTGTGGCACACAGGCTCAGTAGTTGTGGCACGTGGGCTCAGTAGTTGTGGTGCGTGGGCTCTAGATCGCAGGCTTAGTAGTTGTGGTGCACGGGCTTAGTTGCTCCGCACCATGTGGGATCTTCCCGGACCAGGGCTCGAACCCGTGTCTCCTGCATTGGCAGACGGATTCTTAACCACTGCACCAACCAGGGAAGTCCAGTAAAATGTAAGTATTTTAAAACTGGGATCCTGATAACGTACATTTTAAAATAACAGCTTTATTGAGAGCGAATTCATGTAGAAAGGCTTAAAACCCCATAAGGAAGTTCAATTTCCAGCTGCGCAGAACAATGAAGGAACACACACTCTACAGCGCAGGAGCTCTTCTCCAGGGTGGGCTCTGAGGAATCTGCTGGGTTTTCTGATTGGTCATCATCTAAGGAAACACCTTGACAGCTGCTCCCTCCTCACAACCATGACCGGTCCCAGCAACAATGGCCGATGGGACGGCCGATGGCCGAGGAGGCGTCAGTGACCAGTGGAGACCCAGGTTCACTGTCTTTGTGAGGAATGCGTCGGAGAAATTCATCAGAGACTTGGCAGGTTTTCTCCAGGGTTTCAGAGTTTTGGGGTCAGTCTGCATATTCTCGTGTCTTACAGCCCCTTTTCTCTTTCTAGGATAACGGGTAAAGGAGTTAATTCACAGCAGCAGCAGCCGTGGCCTAGACACAGCAGGTGTGCAGGGGGTGAGAACCCAACGCAACTCTCACGCACCCAGAAAAACCTTCTCTTGACCTGGAGCCAAATCCCAGTAGAAGATGGACCTGTATGGACAACTCTGAAAGGAGAGAGGCAGGACTTCTTTGAACAAGCCTGAGCGATTCTCAGGAGGGTTTCGTGGGAGCAGCAGAGCTGGGGAGCCCAGACTGCTCTTCCTAGAACAGCCTGGGACAGCGACAGCGGCTCCAGGGCCTTCCCTCCACCACTGGCCGATACAACGACTTCTCTTGTTTTCCCTCTCCTTTTCATTTGTTTCTATCTTTAAGAATCTTGCAACATTCTGTGACATGGCCGTGAAAAAAGGAACCACTAATTTGTGAAAGAAGAGGCTGGTGTTGTCATTAAACGTGGCAGGAACGTGGCCGTAGAACAGCCAGAGGCGCTAATGCACAAGGGTGACCGACCCGTCTATACAACCTTGTCGCCAAGCAAGGATGAGCCTCAGGGCCCCACGTGGCAGCCATTTGGGGCGGAGCCGTCCCCACCATCCCCAACGCCCGATCACAGTCACCGTCGCCATTGGGGGAAACGCCCCAAACAGCGGTGCTGCAACCCCAGGACTGGGGGGTGTGGGCGGGTCTGGGGGGCCACAGGGTTAGTGCTTTGATTTTCAGTAAGTTTGACTTCTAAATGGGCGATTCAGAAATAAAAAAACAAACCAAGTGCGTCTTCGACAGGTCCGGGGAGGAAGGCCCCCTCCCCGCCCAGCCTCATCGTCTCCATCGCTGTCCCAGGTATTCCTCCAGAGGCTGTCTGTGGTGTGTGTGCTCTCAGCGCCCTTTGTTTTACACAGCAGGTGGCACCCGGACACCCTGGTCCTGTACACCTGGCATGACCCGGGGGAACATGCCACAGAAGCGCCCTGGACGTGTCACAGCGGACACTGGCTCTGTCCAGCCCTTGCTCCTGCAAACCTCACGGACAGGAAATGCCATCGGGACTTCCAGGTTTCCTCTGCAGTGGCCCCGACAGCAACAGTGTCCTGCTCGGCTGGGTCGGCCATGCCCTGGCCCCTTCCTGACACTGGTCCTCTCATTCCGGGGACCCCACAGGGCTCCTGCCAGATACCACCTCCTGTGCACAACCCCAGGACCAGCCACCCGTGCCCCTCAAGGTTCCCCATCCCGCTGGGGGACAAATCTAATTACTAGAAAGTTCTCTCTGTTGGCTTCAGGCGACCCCCTTATTGCTCCCACCCAACATCCTGCCCTTCTCAGGGCCGCAGGCCACTTATGCGCCCAGCCCTCTCAAAGCAAACTCCCCCCCGCACCTCTCACCCTAAACAAGACCCGGCAGGCCACCGGCTGCGGTATGGCCGGTACCATGTTAACACGTGCAGGGGTGTTTAACAAGGCGGAACAAAATGCTTCCACATCCAGGAGGAAACTGTGTCATATGCCACACTTGCCTTGAAAGAAGTCCCTGAATGTTTTAGCAAACTCATCAATTATGAAAGATGATTGTACGCAACCCAAAGTGAGGGTACAGAACTGTGCCCTTCAGACTTCAACGAGCTCGTCCTGGGGAGCAGCACGCGAGGCAGGCGGGGGCCCTCCTGCGGAGGAGGCTGAGCCCCGCTTTCCTGGAGGGGGAGGGGAGCAGGGTCGAGGAGGGGAAGTGGGGAGTTAGTGTTTATTGGGGACAGCGTGTCAGGTTGGGGAGGCGAGAAGGCTCTGAGATGACGTGGTGATGACGGTGGTCGCACAACAGCATGAATGTGCTTAGTGCCGCTGAACTGTGCACTTAAAAATGGTTAAAATGGTAAACTTTACGTTTTTTACAACTTAAAAAAAGTCACCCCAAAAGTCACACTTTCGAGTCACCTGTTCTGTGCATGTCATCTGCCCCCGGCAGCCTTGCCATTGTCCCCAGTCCTGACGCCCAGACCAAGGCCCAGGACCACGCCACGCTGTGCGCTCAATGGCTCCTCTCCTCTCGGGGCCCCTGGGGCGGCAGGAAGTCCCCGCACCCGAGAACCGCGTGAGAACCGACTATGCCTGTTTCTTCCCAAAGCCGTGTTTGGTGACGTCACCTCGGCGGCTTTATCGGCGCCTGGCCCCCATCTCCATACGCCCCCCGCCCGTCGGGCCCGGAGCCTGAGGCCCGGCCACCTTACCGCCCTCGTAGTAGTGCTGCGTGGACTCCTCAAACGACCGGTCATAGCTCTGCTCCGTGTAGGACGCCGGCTGGTAGGCATAATCGCCATGTCCTGCAAGCAAACGGGCTGCCCTGCAGTCAGCGGAGGCCCCAGCTGCCCAGACCCAGGAGAGACCGCGTGAACTCGGCCGTCGGGTCAGGAGACCCTGGCGCTGGGTGCGGTCCGGTTTCCCTAGACGGAACCCATGGGGGCACTTCCTGCCGTCAGGCAGCTGCGGTTCCCTTACTTTAAAGTGCAGACGGCCACCTGCTCCTCGGGGCAGTGTGAGGATCAACAAGCCATGGTTTACAGAGTGTACTCGGTGCCCAATGCGTGACACGCACGTGGAGGTCAGCTCTTAATGTAGCTACACGGTCACCATCCCCCCGCCGGCTCCCTTCGGAGTGCGTGACACCTCGTGAGGCCCGGCCACCATTCCACAGAGGGGTCACGGCTTGCCCTTCCCCGGTCTTGGCCACCTCCCCAGCACCAGACCTGCTCACGCACCCTGCCTGGGGGGTCCTCCCCAAATCCCACCCGTCCTCTGCGGCCATGTTAAACGCCACCTCCACAAACCCTGGGGCCATTTGAAGATGCCTGAAAGGTGACATGGAAAAGGAAAATAAGCTGCAGAAGTTGTAACTGAGCAGCTGGGAGGGGAGCGTTACGAGACAGTCGGCTCACGCTTGTCACCTTCCTGAGAGCATCTCACGATGAACTCGTGTCCATCCTCAGGACTGCGCACCCAGCCCCAGGGGGCCAGTGCCGGAAGCTTCTCTCAGCAGAGGCCAGCCACCCACCCCCAAAGGGGACTCTGGGGTCTGAATTGGGAATGACCAGTGAGCAGCGGATAAAAGCCACTGCAGCCTCACCGTCAGGGTAGTACTGCTGGCTCATGGGCTCCGAGGCGGCCTGGCCGTGGCCGTACTGCTCGCCGCCGTAGTACTCCTCCTGGCCCAGGTACTGCTGGGACGAGCCTAGGGGACAGCGCCGGACGTCACCTCCCCGAGCCCCAGAACCTCCCCAACGGGCCCCCAATCAGAGGACACTCCACCAGGCCCACCCAGGGGACACGGGGAGGCCTGCCCCACGCACTGCACACACTGCCCCTCCCCCACCGGTTCCCTGCACCGGGGGCGGGGCCTCACCTTGCTGGGAGGGCCGGTAGGGCGCCATGGGCCGCTGCCCCATCATGCTGCCCGCCTGCCCGCTCTGGCCCATCATGGCCATGGACTGGCCCTGGTAGTGCTGGCTCCCGCCCTGTGCCGCGCTGTAGTGGGACGAGGCTGCCTGCTGGTGCATCATGGACACTGGGGGACACGACAGACCCCATGTAACCCAAGAAGCTCCTGGGCGGCACCCCGCAGACCCGCCTGAGCCCTCCTCCCGGGCTGGGCCTGTGCAGCTCTGCCCCGCGAGGCCACGCCACCCTTCCTGCCAACGCGCCTTTGGGCAACTCATAAAATGTGAAATGCCGGCCCCCACGCCCCTAAGTCCCCAAGGCTGGTCCCAGAGGAGCCTATCGCCTCGCCCTCCCCCAAGACTCGGGTCTCGAAGGCTCCGGTCTCGAAGGCTCCAGTGGGGGCCCCGCCTGCCTGTCCTTTCCTGCCACCCCAGCTCGGGACCCTCCAGGGCAGCACCGTCCAGCACAGGGGACGTGAGCCACGTCAGAGAATGAGAAGAAACAGGGGAAGTCTATTTCAGTGACATTTTATTTGACTCAATATATCCAAACTAGATTGTCTTCAATATGTAATTAACGTAGCGAGAGCTAAGGAGATACTTCACATCCTCTTTTTCTGTTCTAAGCCTTTGAACCCCAGTGTGTCTGACTCTCGTGGGACGCCCTGGTTGGGACCTGACGCTTCCCAAGTGCTCAAGGCCCTGCAGCCCTACCTGCCCCTCAGCCTCCCACTCCTGTGCACTGGCTGCCACCCAGTCCTCCCAGCGGGGTGGCTGCTGCCCCTCCTCAGAGCCTACCCTGAAGCCACCCAGCCCCCAGCCCTCGCCCCTTGGGGGCTTCCGGAGGAGGGTGGCCCTGGGGACCACGTTGGCCTGCGCTGGAGGGGAGCGGGGTCTCTGGGGACGGTACCTGGGTTGGACTGCATGTTGATGTTGGCCCGGGACACGTAGCTGCTGATGGCGCCCTGGCCCTGCAGGGGGATGCTCTGCGAGGCCGGTCCCGAGTGGCTGTAGCCGGGCCCCGAGCCGTGGCCGCTGCCGGACATGCTCATGGAGGTGGTAGGCAGCGTGCTCTGCGCCGTCTGCTGCAGGGTCACGTGGTTCGGACCTGCCAGGGCGGGGGGGCGGGCGCGCTGAAACCCACCAAAGACCACCTCTGACGGCAGCCCTGGCCTCGCGCTAGGGCCCCCCCCCCCCTCCGCCCCCCAGGCAAGCTTCCTTCACGCGGCTGTTGAGGGGAGGCTGACCATGGTCAAGGGCGCAACGAGCGAGGGACACGGGCGCGTGACCAGGAAATGAACACACGTGCTGAGCGCGCAGAGGGGCCGCCTGCTCCCTGTTACCTTTATCAATGGTTCCCGACGGCTAGTGGCAGTTCTCAACCCAAGGACAGGAGCCCCACACGGAAGCCCGCGCTCTGAGGTGACGCAGCCCCAGTTCGCAGGGGACCTGGAATAAGGGCCTTATCCCTCCGCGTGTCACCCCGAGCACATGCGCCTGCAGCAGGGCCTCCGGTAGGAGAGGGTCCCCACCGCGGCGGCCGGCCACCCGGGAGCCCAGTCGGTGACCCCGTTGTTCCCCAGAACCAACCCAGAGCCCAGTGCGCCCAGGGCCGCTCACCGTTGCCGATCTGGGCCTGCATGAGGGAGGATGGTGGCAGGCCCGCGCCGATGGCGTCGCTGAGGCTGCCCTGCGAGTGCAGGCCCTGGCCCGAGCCGCTCTGGGACAGCCCTCCGGGGCCCAGCGCCAGGCTCTGGGTTGGCGGCTGTGGCAGCGGGAAGGGCACCGAGAGGGTTAGCGTGGAGAAGGGCCACCAGGAGCCGCTCCGGGGGCTCAGCCGCCCTGAGACCCACAGCCATACTCCATGGCTGCCTGCCAGCACCTCCAGGGTGGGACACCGCCCTCACGCAGCTGTACGCCGCTGACTGCCAGCCCGGACACCTCAGGCCAGACGGAAATGCTATGCCAAGCGTTCCCCAGGCTATCGACACACACTTGGAGGTTCAAAGCCGGGCCCCCCTTTCCTGGGACTCAGGGAGCTGCGTCCACCTCACCTTGCCCCCAACCCCCCCCCACCCCTCTTGGTCTCAGCTGGCCAGCCAGCTCTGGCCCTCACACCCCCTGTGCCCCAGGGCCCTTGCACAGCCTGTCCTGTGCCTCAGCACCAGGTTCCCAGGGTGCTCTCCCCCCCGCCCCCCCCAGCCAAAGCCCACCTCTGATCACAGGAGGCAGACGGGAGATGGAGCTTACCAGTGACCCCTGGCAACCTCATCTCCCAGATCTGGACCAAAGAGCAGCCCCGAAGGTTTGGACAACGCTGTCTACACCTGGGCCCCCCACCCCGTGGCAGGCACTCACGGCGGGCAGCAGGGACTGCATGTTCTGGTTAGAATCCGCGATCGTGGCCAGGTAGACCAGGTTCCGGTGCAGGATCTGCTGGTACCTGCAGGGGAGGGCGCGGTTGAGGGAGAGGAGGCTGCCCTGCCCTGCAGCCAAGCCCCTCCCCCGGAGGGTGTGCACGGGCAGGCCGCACAGTGCTCTGCGGTCCAGGATGAGGGGGGAGACCCCCGACCTGGTGGCCAAGGGACCTGGTGTTCAGAGAATGGAGGGGGGGGCCCGGGGGACATAGGAGGGGCTGCCAGGGCACGAGCCTCCTTGGGCGGACCCGGCACTGAGCTAACTGGATACCCCATCCCCTGCAGAGGCACTCAGTGCCCGGCCCTGGGGTCACACGAGGTCCCACCTGGAGGAGCTTGCTGTCCCCTGGTGCGGCTGGCCTGGGCCCCCCAGTGGTCCCCTCTCCCCCATACTCCCACTTCCCTCCAAACCTGCCCACCTTTCCCTGGGGAGCCACCCAGGGGCGCTGACCCAGCAGCTTAGCTGACCCTGAGGCCCCACTCGCTCAGGCCACCAAGCCCCAGAGGCAGCCGGGAGGGGCACGGGCAGCCACGCCACTCACTGGGTGCACTCGGCCGTCTTGCCCTTGCTCTGATAGTCCAGGATGCACTGGATCAGGTGGTGGTTCTCGTCCAGCATCTGAAGGAGAAGCAGATGTGAGCGGGGGAACACGGTGCGCCCGCGGGCGGCCGGCTGCGGGGCTCGCGAGCCCCGGCTCACGGCTCACGCGGCCCAGCAATGCCCGTCAGCAGAACTGCCCCCTCACAGCCCCAGCCAGCAGGGCCGAGCACTTTCCACATCCCTGTGCCAAGCACGCAGCCCTGCAGGCGCCAGGGCCCATCCCTCCCGCCCACCCGCCCTGCGCCCCCAGTCCAGGTTCTCACTCCGCACAGGAAACCCACAGCCTGCAGGACCCGTTTTCTAGGGCCCTTGGCCCCGGTGCTTCTGTCCAGCAAGGGTGGACCCGGAGTCTGGAGTGTGAGGCCCACAAATCACGCCCACACGGTGGGGACTCCGGGGGTGGGGGCAGCCTGCACCCCTGCGAGTATCTCCTAGACCCACGAAGCTGCTGCTCCAGGACGGCCACTCGGCGACAGCACCTGGGTGGCCCGCGGAGACAGGAGGGGATAGAGGCCGCAGAAGAGGGAGGAAGGTCGCATGGGAGCGTGGGAGGGGCCGCACATGGCCGGCCAGGAGGCCTGGCGTGGACACTCCCTACCTGTACGTGGGGCGGGGGTAGGGGGACCCGAGCGCCGAGGGCCAGCCCTACCGCGGCCTTGCTCGCCTCTCCCTCCCCGCTCAGCCCCTGAGCCTTCAGGGTTGATTTCCCTTGTTTGGGTTTTTTTAGTTATAACCTCCTCCTCTATGCTTGAGTGTTTTCTCCCCACTGTGGAGATGATGCCCAAATTCAGCCATTCCCACCCTGGCCAAGGAGCCGGCCCGAGACAGGGAACCACCAGGGGGCGCTCTGGGCTGGGGCTACCGGTGGGGCCCACCCATAGGCAGGCGATCAAACCCAGGGGGACTGGGCATCCCGGCCGTTTGCCCAGGAAGACTTCCCCAGATGAATTAAGAAAGGAAAACAACCACCAAAGGCCATGTCCTCTCCCTCGCAGAGCCACCCTTAAAAGGCTCCACGGGCTCTACCTCCTGGCCTCACGATGCCCGGCAGGAATCCTCTCCCAAGGCCACACACTCCGCACGCACGGATGTCCATTTCAGCGTCATTCGTGTCAGCTCGAAAAAGGGGGGACGCCAAATGCTCAATGACGGGACGACTTAAGCAATGACAGGAAACCACAGGATGAGTCGTTAACCGGACATTACAAATGTCTTTGTAGTTTTTACAAGCCGGAGAAAAATGTTACACTGTTAGGATATTTTTTTTTAAGCAAGGTACTAACTTCACTGAGATGAAGTTTTCCATAACTTCACCTCAGTTAAGTTATGGAAAAAAGACCAGGACACATTGCGGGGAGGATGGCGGGCTGGGTGTGCGCTGAGGTCCAAACCCTCCCAGACCTGGCTGGTGGGAAAGGGGTGAAGACAGTAACCCTTCACCAGGACAAAGTGAACACAGCTGAAACAGCAGCGCAGGCAGCGGGATTCTAGAAGCGGAAGCAACTGGAAGAGCAAGAACTGAATCAGCAGAACCCAGGTGCCGGATGTGACGCAGGCCCACACTGGGGACCCACCAGGCTTGGGAGGGTTGAGGCTCTGGGACCTCCCCACAGCTACCTGGCAGGAGTCCCCAAGGGGGGATTCAGGGAAAATGACCAGCCCAGGAGGAAAGTGCCAGACATCGACAGCAGGGGGACACCTCTAGCCAAGACCTCAGATGGGTGACCCGCGCCAGCGTTTCCCGGAAGCCTGTAAATTAGATCCAACAAAACCAGCGACAGAGGCCAAAAGCTGGAGGAGACGAAGATTATGCAAGAAGGAAACTTAAAATACAAAAAGAAAGAAAACCCAACTATTATTAATATCCTCAAAGATAAAAGAAGTTATTGGATCTATTTTTTTTAAATAACACACTATTAAACAGAACAGAGAACAAAAAGAGCTCTGGGGTATTTAAAATACATTGACCACGGCAAAAAAATCGACAGAAGAGTTGGAACATGAAGTAGTAGAAAACTCCTAGACAGCAAAGCAAATGACCGATGTAGAAAACAGAAAGAGTAATGAAATTGAAGGACAATCCAAATGGCCAAAAACAATTCTTCTAGGACTTTCAGAAAGACAGGAAGGAAGAAATGCATCCAAAAATAATTGTTCAAGGGACTTCCCTGGCGGTCCAGTGGTAAAGGATCCGCCTTTTAATGCAGGGGACGCGGGTTCGACCCCTGGTCTGGGAACTAAGATCCCACATGCCGTGGGGCTACTACGCCCACGTGCCTCAACTAGAGAGCCCGCGTACCGCAAACTACAGAGTCCATGCCCTCTGGAGCCCGTGCACTATAACCAGAGAAGAGAAAACCCGCATGCTACAACTAGAGAGAGAAAAAATCTGCACACCACAACTAGAGAGCAGCCCGTGCGCCACAACGAAGAACCCATGCCACAATGAAAGGTCCCGCATGCCACAACTAAGACCCGACGCAGCCAAAAAAATTAAATAAATAAATAAAATTTATAAAAAACAAAAATAATTGTTCAAGACTTTTCCTCAGAACTTGAAGGATGTGAATGTCCAGATGGAAAGGTTCTCAAAGGACCCAGCTTGACAAACACACTGGGGCACAGCAAGGTCCTAAAAATGAATGGAGTGAAAAGCACAGTACTGAGCACCTCCACACAGGATAGAAGCTTCGGGCAGCAAAGGAGCAATGGCCAATTGCGAGGGAGACTCTATAGAAGCGACGACAGGATCAAAAGCAGGAACCCCTGAGTGACGACCAAATCCTCGAGGGACTTCCAGAGGAGGGATGACAGGAGCCTAAGGGAGACACTGAGGAGGGATAACAGGACCTGAGAGAGACTTCATGAGGGGAGATACCCTGATCCTGAGGGAGACTTTTGAAGGAGTGATGAGCTGATCCTGAGGAGGGATGGTGCAAATCTGAGGGGACTTTCTGAGGAGGGGTGAACTGATCTCGAAGGAGACTTCTGCAGGGGGGTGACCTGACCCTGAGGGAGACTTTCTGGGGGAAAATGACCTGATTCTGAGGAGACTTCCTGAGGAAGAATGACCTGATCCTGAGGGAGACTTCCTGAGGAAGAATGACCCGACCCTGAGGGAGACTTTCCGGGGGGAAATGACCTGATTCTGAGGGAGACTTCCTGAGGAAGAATGACCTGATCCTGAGGGAGACTTTCTGAGGAAGAATGACCTGATCCTGAGGGAGACTTTCTGAGGAAGAATGACCCAATCCTGAGGGAGACTTCCTGAGGAAGAATGACCTGATCCTGAGGGAGACTTTCTGAGGAAGAATGACCCAATCCTGAGGGAGACTTTCTGAGGAAGAATGACCCGATCCTGAGGGAGACTTTCTGAGGAAGAATGACCTGATCCTGAGGGAGACTTTCTGAGGAAGAATGACCCGATCCTGAGGGAGACTTCCTGAAGATGGATGGCCCAGATCAGTCAGAGGCTTCCTAAGGAGGGACAACCCTATCCTTGGAAAGACTTTCTGAGAGGGATTACCCAATCCCCAGGGAGACTTCCTGAAGAGAATGACCTGACACTGAGGGAGACTTTCAGAAAAGTCCTGACCCGATCCTGTGGGGGAGATTCTGAGGAGTGATGACCTGATCCTGAGAGGCAGTTTCTGAGGAGGGATGACCCCATCCTGAGAGAGATTTCCTGAGGAAAGATTAGCCAATTCTGACGGGGACTTTCTGAAAAGAATAACCTGACTAAAGATGTCTTTCAGAGGAGAAAGACTGACAGACTACCTGAGCTGAGGAGGCTTCCATGGCTCGAAGAAAGTCTGGGATAAACTAGTGAGAAGTGATTAAAAATAAAGTGAGGGGTCTTCCCTGGTGGCGCAGTGGTTAAGAATCCACCTGCCAGTGCAGGGGATACAGGTTCGATCCTTGGTCCGGGAAGATCCCACGTGCCGCAGGGCAACTAAGCCCGTGCGCCGCAACTACTGAGCCTGCGCTCTAGAGCCCGCAAGCCAC